TACAGGCGTACGCCAGCCTTTTGGGAATAACATTTTTCGCAGACCAGTGTACATGTAGCCTGGGTACCATCCCCAGTAGTATATTCGCAAACTCTATAACTGGTTATAGAGTTTGCGAATGTACTACTGGGGATGGTACCCAGGCTAGTGTACATGGGCCGTGTGAGTTTGTCTGTACTGTACATGTATAGGTTGACCCAACCTATGTTCTGGGTCAATGTCGACGTCGCCAGTGGTTGCATTTGGTTGTCAGGTTGAAACTGTTCAAGGGGCACATGTCTTCTTCTTTTTCAGTGTACATGCAGCGACCCTCGGCCAAGAATGATCATAACGGGGCACAGGACGACCAACGGGCACCGTCTCTTCCCGGCGTTCCTGATCCGGGGAAGCTGACCACTGATGGACCTGACACGTCAGCCACCCATCCATCTGTCCCGGGATGTACTTCCCCGGGCACTTTCTCTTCTTCCCTTGCATTAGGGAGCAGACACCGCCCGAGACCGACGTGACGGCAGTTCCCGGCACAGCCGATGCGACGAGGCCGATCTGAACGTGCTCTTCGATGTCCAGTATAAGGACGCAAAAGACAATAGAGTCTGGATGATCGATACCAAATGTCATAATGTCTGAAGACATTAGCCAGAGGACCACCCCTGACCAAATTGTTTGATTGTCTGGATCCATCATATGTCCTAGTACAAGGACAGTGACAGCGAAACATTTGAGCATAAAGAACGACAGTCATTGTAACAACAACTAGTTCAATTGTATCGTCAATTATTTTATTACATTTGGCTTCTCCAGTAGCCAGGCTTTGAGACTGGAGAATGATACAGTCTATATTGTAATCGAAACTGATTGCTGTTATTCAGTACATCCAGTTATCAAACTAACGAGTACAACGGCCATATAAGATTTGTTCAATGATTCACTGCTATATAATAATATCTTAAATACAAGGGAGGCATGTATGGTATTTATAGCAGGACATCTGCATAGTTTTTGTACAATATCCAATGATCATGTGCAACAGCAGTTCCCTGGCTCTACAGCTGTAATAGATGACCTAGTACAGGTGTCTCCCACTGCAAGGTCAGAGGTCAAGTCTAAAAGTCTTGACCAAAGCAAGTCTATGTGTCATTCCTCAGTTTGTCACTTCTTAGAGTTAGGTCCTAGGTCAGACAAAAAAGGACTATTCTGTTATGAATGTTAGACAGGACAGGTTTCAGGATGCTTAATATTCAGATGGACAAAATCACATTCCCCAACTTCATCTCATCAATTGAACGTACTAACCCTGTACTTGAGGACAATCTGTCGTCCCTAGCTTCGGCCTCCGACAAGATCCACAAGACCACCCCACTAATACCAAATCTCCATGCCATTTATCCCACCTACTGACCCTGTACTTGAGGACAATCTGTCGTCCCTAGCTTCGGCCTCCGACAAGATCCACAAGACCACCCTACTAATACCAAATCTTCATGCCATTTATCCCACCTACTGACCCTGTACTTGAGGACAATCTGTCGTCCCTAGCTTCGGCCTCCGACAAGATCCACAAGACCACCCTACTAATACCAAAGCCTCATCATCTCATCATCCAAAAAAAAAAAAACCTTAGGTCCGCCATGTTTCCTTCCCGTCATGCTAAGAAAATTACATTGAACTTCAATTGCAAGTGCTAAACACAATCAGCGTATATTACGCCAAAGCCATCGCCTCTATACACTCCTGCCAAAATGAACACACAACCAGGTAGGCTTTCAGTTACTGCTCTTTCCAAACATACCGCTAGGCGTCGTCCTTACACTGTGGCCCGGTGACAGGTCCCACAATGCACTTCACTCAACTTTGGCCTGCCCCATTGCATGACGGGAAACAAAATGGCGGCGCCCAAAAAATCGAGGTAAAGTAGAACAGGTTCCGCTATCGCGAACCTGTAACAAGGCCTTGGAAAATTATTATACACTGTCCTAAAATACTGGTAAACTCCAGCGTTCAAGACCAGCAACAGCAAGTTGATTTTTTTGAGCCTGCAGTTTGAGAGTGAATCGCTAGATGTCACCAATGTACGGTCGCTGTCTCCTGTCATGTCACCTCTGACCCCGATGGATTAGCAACGTGGCGCGCGTGCTGGAAGTGGAATTTCACCGGCCGAAAATTTATCGTCTATTGTTCAGTTTAAATATTTGACCGTCCGAAGTCCCCTCACGTGTGCCGGGTAGTGACGGGAGCTGTCTTCAGGTCGGTCGGTGAGTTATCATTATCTGTACACGTTACGTCAGTTGAGAGGGAAAGTGGTCTGTCATGTCTTGGCACATATTTTTGTATGCGTGAAACGTCGTCGCCACAGGTGATCATACCTCCAGGGAAAAAGGTTTGCTCTAGTATCATCAAACAAATACTGAGTATCACGACGTTTCTTTGCAGTTCAGCTGTCGGTGTAGCTTGAAAAACGTTTTACTTAAAGTGTGTGTCTGTGTTGGGGGTGGGGGGTAGGATCTTCGATAAATTTACGTACACGTTACCGTAGAGAAAATTCCTAGAGCGATAATTTTGATACACCATTCACTATAATTATTGCTCTGCGCACGTAACATTACAGGTCTGCTTACACAAAGTTTCTTATTTTCTTGTAGGGATTCAACACCAAGCTCTCTATAGACAACAGACGACAGAAAAGGTTTGCCCAAACAAACAGGCCCCAAAGTCCGGCTGTCTGGACCTGATTACTGACAGAAGTAAAAGGTGATGCAATAGTGGCCAAACTCAAACAGTACTAACAACATGGCCGGCAGAAGTTTGTGCCAGCTCAAGTGTGTGAAGTCTGCTCTCAAGCAAGGCAAGCTGCTCAACTCTTGTAATTATAATTACAGTTTCGTTCGATTGAACTCCACGCTATCCCGGCGTTCCTTCGCAAACAGAACGGATTTCACAACAGAACGATCGATAGCCGGCGTTTTGGGTGCGCCAAGATGGCGGTATGTGAGCGCACGGGATTTTAACGACCTGAAGGGGGCGTACGCGCACGCGCCGTACTCCCGGCTGAACGGGAAGGCGATCCCGTACCGCTCGGAGCTGAAGCACGCGAAGCGTATCGTGGTGAAGCTGGGCAGCGCCGTCATCACCCGGGACGACGAGTGCGGGCTGGCGCTCGGGAGACTCGCTTCGATCGTCGAACAGGTGAGGCGATCGACCAATCAGATGTTACTGTAGGTGAAATAGTTAGAAACAGTTGATTATTGTTTCTCTGAGTTCTGTGATTGTGAAGATTTCTCTTTTAACACCGTAGTAAGAGGGAAAAGGTCCAGACCAATTGAGCTGGGCAGTTGGTGACGCCTATATGATACTCACTGTTATACTGCCAAGAGACCGAGAGTTTGAATGTATGCTATGTACTGTAAAGGGTTGCAGACCTTAGCTGTGGCCCACTGTTCATTTTGCTTGTTTGATTTCTAGAGGAATTTCCCCAGTACAATCATCACCATGACTCTCTATGACGCTCTTAAGGTCCTTAAGTCCAGTACAATGAATGAACCTGTATTAAAAATACTGTATATAGCACCTGTCTCCTGTCTTGACCAGTGCTAGATTAGCTCTGCTGTGAGCTAAAATTGGATCGAGATCACTTTCCTTTCCTTGCCTTTCTTTTTTGTCAGGTAGAGGGTTTAAGTGCTGAACAGGTTCCACCTGGTGTGACTCACCTGTTCCATTGTCTTCCCTCTCCCACCCGTTCCTTCTCACCTCATGTTGGAAATTTCCACTCCATTTCTAATGCACATGATATGTACCACACCCTTCTCTCTTGTTATTTTTGCGACGGCAAACAATGACGTTTAAGTCAGTTGTATTGTATTGTTCATAGAAGAAAGACCAACACATTTCCTGCCAAATTGGCTTGACCTCAGGTTGTTTTAATTATCTCAGTCCTTCCAAGAAATTCAATTAAAATGAAAGCAGCTGATGTTATCTTGGATTTAGTAGGGACCATGAGATACCGTTAGTAGGATTTTTTGGTTATAATTGCTTATCCATTCTTTGCATGGAATTCATTTTTTTATTTTTTTTTGGGGGGGGGGGGCTGCCTACTGAGAATTGATATGCCATCAGAAAAAAAGCACATCCCTGAGAAGGCCTAATTCGAAGAGGCTGCTAAAGACTGAAAGAGGCTATTCTCAGGTCCATGTTATAATATTATTATGATATATAGCAAACTAAACACACTACCCCCTCCCCTACACACAATGGTGATAGTTTTCACCCACTCTATAGCCTCCCCCCCCTCAATCAGTATTCCATCCATACACCAGGGTAACGTTAGCTGAAATATGACCTTTGCATTACCCAGGTGTTGATTGTGCCTCTGTCTTGACGTCATAGCTCTGTACCAAACATGTCATAAGTCTCTATTGAATAGTATGCAACAAGGAAGCAATTTGTATTTGTATATACTGTACTGTAGTATATATAAAGTAATATGCTAAATTTAGCAATAACCACTGAATGTGTACATAGTAACTAATAGTTCACTATATCAGTGGCTAATCAATGGCTCATGGCTGCCAAGTGTCCTCATTTAGAATGAGTACTCAAGTAGAATTGGCATGTCAGTGGCTGTGGTTATGCTGTACTGATCAATTCCGTATCCAATTAATTTTGATGAAACAATTTATAATGAGAGATAAAGTACCCTTCACACCAGTATATCTCTGTAATTTATCAAGGATGACATACTAGTACTCAATTGCTCATGGTACTGTATTTATTCCTTTTCTGTCCTACCTTCAATAATTATGCATTTTATTTATTTTTGTCCCCAAGAAATCTGTGTTGTGTAAAAAAAAAAATGTTCAGTGATTATTCATTAAGAATAGCCTGGGTACCATCCTATTTGTATGCCGGGGCTCCCACACTCGCTTCACATACGTTAAACCTAAGAAAACATTTGGGTGCACCCACAGAAAAGAATTGGTGCATAGCTCCAAATTTGGGTGCACTAAGGTACACATGTACCCATATTTCGAGCCCTGCACACTGATATTTTGTTCGTATGAATCTGACGAAAATTTGTGTCGCCTCCCCCAGGTTTCGGAGCTCCATGCGGAGGGTCACGAGATGCTGATTGTGACCAGCGGTGCCGTGGCGTTCGGGAAGCAGCGGCTCCGACACGAGATCGCCATGTCCCAGAGCATGCGGCAGAGCATGCGGGACGCACGCGCACGCAACGGCAACACCATGAAGGTAAGAAAGGAACTTACCGGTAACCGTCTGAGGTTTGTTTGTTTGTTTTATTATGATTATTGCTTTACATAAAGTGAACACTATTCATCTGGAATACAATAAATTATTGAATAATTTTTTAGTACAAACCGTTATACCTGTAGTATTTGGAATGTTCACCACATTTATATGACAGTTTATGGAATTCTAGTGGTCTAGTGTTATGTGATGTCTCCTTGTAACTTGGTATAATGTGCAATTCAGTGATTCTGTCACTGTGAAAGAGCAATAAATACATTGTCAGTCTAAAAAGAATTGTTCTTTGTTGTTACTAACTATATACATATATGACTTGTTACCTCCTTGAAAATCAAAGAGCTTAATAATATGTTGTTTTTTAATTCACGTCATAGCAAGATGACAAAGACAAAATTGTTTGCGTGCACAAGCTATGCAATTTACATAATTGCCACAATGCGACAATGCCACAATAACAATAGCAGAAAAGCTGTTGATATGGCATCTCATCCATAATGGACTTTCCCTGGAGTTTAAAAAAAAGATTCATACCAAATGTCGATATCCCCCGAGTGGCTTCCCTTTGAACTGCAGGTTAACTTTTGCCATGTTCCCTTAACTTTGAATGAAACATGCCAATCAATGTAATTGTGCAAAATGACCTGTGTGGATCTTAACAACATGGTAAAATCCTGCTGTAACCTACCCAGTTTTCCAGCCAGTCTGAATTTTTTTCTGTCAATTTCTCAATTTTATATAATAATTGTTTATTGATTGATCGATGTGTACAATCGCTAGCACGTGGCAGCGCACCTACAAAAAAGTAGCTCTGAATTGCATGCTAGTGTTTAAAAACAGAGAGACAAATATTGCACAGTTAGGAGTAACAAATAGACGTGACAGATCGTGTTGAGCACTGAGTCTATGGTCATGCTCCCTCGGGAAAATTTTAAAATCTTGACCCTCTGAAGCACTATTTCCTGCACCATTTGCACCTTTCCTGCAACTTTTGCTTAAAGCTTAATGACATCTTTTTGCAAACCCTTACACTCTGATTTTTGTCCGTCAAAGATGACGGGTTGGATGAATTTCGTCACCACAAGCGTAAAAAGACGGATGCTGGCTAGAATACTGCACCTGTCCCTTTTGCTGCCCCCCTCCCTCCCCCTATGTAGCCTCCTTTGCAGACTTGTGAGTCGGTGGCATTCATTTTTTTTTTGGGCGACACAAGTTATGCCGCAGAGGGAGTTTGCCGGAAAGAGAAGGTTAAGCGGTGAAATCTTCCTTCCGTGGGAAATTCCTTCCGTGGCAAAATTTGCATCGGTCCCGAAAAAAAAAATTAACGTCGCCGCCACACAAGCCTACGGTGGAGGCTACCCACAGCTCTACATGCGTCCATTAACGCTGTTTGTTCCATCTGTTGTTCTGTGTTCCCGTTTGTTATGTAGTTCCTGGAGCCGCGTGCCTGTGCGGCGGCCGGGCAGAGCGGGCTCATGGCGTTGTACGATTCCATGTTCTCTCAGTACGGCATCACCTGCGCACAGGTCAGGGGTCACACCTTACCTCACGTACTGCAGCAGGGTTGGACAAGTTCTCACAAACCTACTTGCCCTAAAAAAATGGTCATTTCCACTTTTCACTTGCCCAAAATATACATGTTTCTATGTTTACCGGGGGTATTAAAAAATCAACTTGCCCTAAATAAAATAGGTCATTTCCACTTGCCCTAACCAATTTTTCACTACGTCTGACCGTTTCCAAAATCATATACAGTTGCTTGAGTAACTGCTTTTTGGCGCAACTTTTCCCTTGACCAAAATAGACACATTTCTATATATATGCATTTCTATGCATTTTGTACCACTAACTTGAAGGAAATGATCTTATTTTGGAGTTGATAATGTTGGATGCTTTATTTATCAAAAAAAGGTGGTTTGACTTGCTCCAAAAACCGAAGCAGATATATTTTGCATCCAAAAAAATTTACTTGCCCAGTCACTGTAGCGGCTGTACTTTGGATCCAAAAACTTTACTTGACCAATCGGGCTCCCCAATCCGGCAAGGGGCACATGCACTTGCCCGAACAACTTACTTTTACTTGGCCCTGGGCAGGTGGGCCATGGGACTTGTCCAACCCTACGTAGTTTTTTAACCTGCCGTAACCCGTAAACCGTTTTTCGTTCCTACTAGAGCGGGGAAGAGGATTCTCTGGTTAAGGAAGCGTGCGCGGCGGCGGGACAGGGGGGCCTCATGGCTCTGTATGATTTACTGTTTGGCTTGCGGGGGATTAACACTGCACAGGTGAGAGGTTGATCAGGGCTCTAACTTTCACCCGGGAGGTTTGTACTGTTGTAACTAGTGCTGTGTACCGGTTTGCTGGACCGGTTCCTGACTTGTAAAAATGTTTAGGTTCAAGTTAAAAAAAAAACTAAAAGTCAAGAACCAATTCCGGACTTATTACAAAAAAAAAACAATACATGTCACATACCCCCTTTCTTTCCAAACCACCTAAAACCTTCCATAGATTGCAAAGTCTGTGGTGCAAAATAAAGAAAACGTTGCCATCGGGGATCGTCAAGTGTCGGCCTCCAATTGTTATGTGGCCAAAGTTTTGTCCATACAACATTGCAAGGTTGCCAACATGCAATTTTGTATATGCCATGGGTTTAGGTCCGGAACTGAACCTAAACCTCTGGACTTGAATCCGGACCTGAACCTAAATGAGCATTTAGATACACAGCACTAGTTATCTCTGTCGGCACAGGTGAGGGTTGATGGGTGAAGGGCACGTCGGCAGAACGTATTGCACCTGCGCAAAACCCAGAATGTCTCACATAAGGTTGACATCCTGTTTGTAGTTTCCAAATGTTATGACAGAAAAAATATCGTCTGTAACAAACAAAATTCTGATGTAACGTTGTCCCGTCCAAACATTCAGAGTTTTGCGCAGGCGCAGTACGTTCTGCCAACATGCTCAGGTGAGGAAGGAGAGTTGATGGGTTGATCAGGGATCTAACTTTCACCTGGGAGGTTTGTATTATTGTAACAGGGCTCAAATTTTTTCTATTTCTATTTTTGGAAGTGAACACTTACTTTTGGAATTGAGAAATGTAATAAACTTATTTGTTCTGGTGGTTTTTGGTTTTTAAGGTAATCGGTTGCATGTTAAGTGTTTTTACTTAAACTTACAAAATTAATGGTTATGTTCCTCTTATGCTACTCTATGTTCTTGTTCATTTTTTTTCCAACTTGTCAACATGAATACAAGAGTTTGAATTTTTTGGGAGTATTGTCTCCCCTGAAATTCTTAGGGGAGAGCTGCTCCCTAAAATTGGTTGATGCCCTAAATTTTGGGAGAGGTGCTAGGATTTTGGGGAGAGATAGAGGGAGCACCCTTGCTTCATTGCTTGGGGACAGCCCTGGAATTTTATTTACTGTCCTGGATGTCTAACCTTCACCAACATAACCTTAGCCAGGGTGCCATCCTATTTGTATACTGGGGCTCCCATACTCGCTCCCTAAGAATTATCCTATTTCAATTTTTTATTTGTATGCCAGGGCTCCCATACTTGCTCCCTAAGAAATATTTTTAGGGATCGAGTGTGGGACCCCAGGATACAAATAAGATGGCATCCAGGCTAACATAACATCAGCTTTTGTGTCAAATCACTGTCTGTTCCCCGCTTAGGTGCTGGTGACGAAGCCGGACTTCTACAACGATGACAACCGGCGCAATTTGCAGAGTACGATCAGCGAGCTGCTACGGATGAACATCGTGCCGATTCTCAACGCAAACGACGCTGTCGCCCCCCCTCCCGAACCCGACAAAGACCTACTCGGGGTATGAAACGTCTGTCTTTCTCTATCCAGTTTATCATCTGTTGTTTCCAGTATTCTTAGCGTTAGAAGTGCTTGCACACTGATGCTGGGGCTTGATGGTAGCTCGCCATTTGCCTCTGTCTTGTGGTTCTTGGGCACAGCAAATGTCAACACCCCTGCGAGTCTCAGCAACTTCACCAGTCAGCCACGCGGTGTCCCAACATTAATTGATGCAATCCCTGACTTGGATGCTGCTTTAGCTCCAGGGATGGTACAGCGCTGTTATAGCTGTTTAGTTACTCCCTGTCACAGTTCTTGGGGTTCTGGCATGCCTTTTGGCTCCTCAGCATCCTGTGCATGTCTTGTTGTTGTAGATTTCCATGGATATCAGAAAGACGATATGCACTTGTAAGGAAATTGTTACTCAAGCAAAGTCAAGGCACAAGCATCTGAGATCTTAAAGAATCAAAATGTATTATGTTGCTTGAGTAACAATTTCCTTGTGCATCTCATTACCAGCATGTCTAACGTTCATCTATGAAAGACAAGGTGATCTATCGTTTGTGTACGTACCACATTTTTCACATTTCATTTGATCCAATGTTTATGGTTTGAGTTTTATTTAGATCCACAATTAGCCTCATAAGAGGCTATTCTTCCTGTTGTCTATGGTTGTTTCCCAAATGTATCTGTTGCCATAATTAATATTCCCTGAGCCATAGTTGGCATGCCTGCATGTATGACATAAAGTATCATAACTACCATAGTTGTGCCCCCCTCCCCCCTCCATCCGTTCAGCCGATGTCATCCCACTAACCAGCCTCGGTGATGTTCTGACGATCGATTCCTACGGAGCGAAAGCACTTTTCCCAGAGTGCACTGCTCCGATGAAGACAGTTTCGACTGAGGGCAAATACATTCCACTCATTGTTTTGCCTCAGTTTGAATTCCCCCTAATGTGAATTAATTCTGGCTGCGCTTATTAATTTATTTGCATGATTGTTGCTAATTTTTAGTCTTGATTAATTAATTTGCCATTGCCATATACTAGTAGATAACTCAATACATAATCTAAAGCTTGATGTTACTCATTCATTAATATAAATGTTCAACACTGGATACTGAACCCTTATGGAAAGCACTGCCAATGAAATTGGCTCAGATTTTAGAAGTAGCATAGGTCTTCCTTAGCACCTAAAATGAGACTTAGGTATAGCAGTAGCAAGACTTCATAAAAGGACTATGGACTTCTGTTCATTTTTATAATGATATGACCAAAGATTGTCTAAAAACAGAGATCAGAGACTGTCTAACATTTTTATCCAGTACTCGTAAGCCTCAGGGGTCATCAGAAATGAAGACTAAAGAACAGTTTTCTGGTACATCCAGGTGATCAGTGTGAAGGATAATGACTCGCTCGCTGCACGGCTGGCGGCAGAGGTGCAGGCCGATCTGCTCTGTCTCCTGTCCAGATCATAATATATCAAAACCGGAACTGCAGCAGTACCAATAAAAGCTGCCAGGGGGCCCAAAATCTAAACATTTTTAGTTCAAATCGAGACCTACCCACCTACCAAGTTTCAGTCCAATCCATCCACTGCTTCTCGAGTTATCTTGCTAAACCACACACACACATACACACAGACAAACACTACTGAAAACATAACCTTGGTCTAAAACAGTTTTCCATGATTCCCCGTGCCCCCAGGTGATCAGTGTGAAGGATAACGACTCCCTTGCTGCTCGGCTGGCTGCTGAGGTGCAGGCTGACCTGCTCTGTCTCCTGTCTGACGTGGACGGCATCTACACCGCCCCGCCCGGAGAGGACAGCTCCAAGCTGATCGACACGTACTACCCCGGCATACAGAGCACCATCAAGTTCGGGCAGAAGTCACGCGTTGGCATGGGCGGCATGGAGTCCAAGGTACGGTACCTGTGATTGGTCAGATGGATGTATGGTACATGCCTTGTGATTGGTCAAATTGGATGTTTGTTACATGCTTTGTGATAGGTTGGATTAATGTTTGGAGCCCAAGGTGGGTCTGGGGTATAAGGTACAGTGGCTGCGTTTTGCCCTGTGTCCCATGTACATGTAGGTATGAGCTGCGCAGTGGGCTTTAGAGGCACTGCAGTTGTCATCACGAGTGATTACCACACCATGACATTGTAATTTGTTAGTCGCATTGGTGTATATAGTGCAATGAATGATTTTACATGGTTGCAGGTTATCTGGCTGTATATGGTAGAGTGATTTTTACTGTTGTGGTTTGCACATGTAGGTACGAGCTGCGCAGTGGGTGTTAGAGCGAGGCACCGCGGTCATCATGGTTTACATACTTGTAACATGGTTAACAATTACAATGTAACAGGTTACATGGTTTCATAAGCCTTATGTCCTGTGTACATGTAGGTACGAGCTGCGCAGTGGGCTTTAGAGCGAGGCACTGCAGTCGTGATCGCGAACGGCTGTCGCCAGGGCTCCGGTCACGCGATCCTGGACATCGTCAACGGGCGTAAGACGGGAACGTTCTTCACCGAGGCCAAAGTCTCGTCGGTCACCGTGGAGACGCAGGCGGAGAACGCCAGGAACGGAGGGAGGGTGCTGTCCTCACTCACAGCTCAGCAGGTAAGGATTAGGAAGAAAAAATGTTGTGTTTCCTGTTTTCCGACCGACCCTAGAAAAAACTGCCAACCCTATATGTACATGATATATATTTTTGTGTAGACCCTGCAATGGACAAAAATCTGAGCTAATTAACCTGTTTTTACACCTGATTCCATGATTTTATGAGCTCCATGATTTGACACCATATTTGAGTGATAAAACGTTGTACAATCGTCGGCAGAAAGTACTACACCTGCGCTAAGCCCGTAATGTTTTGTGCACAGCACTAATCCGTAGAACTTCTCATATAAGGTCGTACTCGCCTATACTAGTACAAGATTAACATCCTGTCTGTAGTTTCCAAATGTTGAGTTGGAAAAGACATCGTCTGCAACAGGCAAAATTTTGATGCAACGTTGACCAAAGATCCAACGAAAACCGTGAAAAATCAAGGTTTTGGGCAGGTACAGTACGTTCTGCTGATGTGCTCCGTGAAGATATTTATGTGCAATGTTATAAACATTTTTGTCCTGTCCTGCAGCGGTCAGATATCATCTCCCACCTGGCGAACCTCCTGGAGGAGCGCAAGTCCTCCATCCTGGCAGCCAACCAGAAGGACATGGACATCGCTAGGCAACAGGGGAACCTGTCGGGCCCGATGCTGTCCCGCCTGGCGCTGTCCGCCGGGAAACTCACCAACCTCGCGGACGGGCTGCGGCAGATCGCGGCCAGCTCGCACCAGAACCTGGACCGCGTGCTGAAACGCATCCAGGTTTGTCTGCTTGTTTGTTTGTTTATTTATTTAAGGGACGGGCTGCGGCAGATCGCTGCCAGCTCGTACCGCAACCTGGACCGCGTGCTGAAGCGCATCCAGGTTTGTTTGAAGGAAAACATATTGTTTTTGCTTATTTTCCTCTTCTTCTTATACAAACAAATAAGGTCAATGACCTGACCCAGATGTCTGTCACCATGATAACTAGTGTTGAGTTACATCATGTTGCAATTTTATAGCAGGATGGATTTAAACTTCTGTCACCATATGCGAAGGTACATTACATTATGCCTTTGCTTTGCAAATGTTACCTTTCTAGTTTGTTTGTTTAAGGAATCTCCAATTAGTGACAATACAACTCCTACTGTCCTGGAGTCCTCTTACGTATTGTAAAGAATACAAATAGTACAGCTACTATTAACATTGTTGAAATGTGTATATGTTTTACTCCAGGTGGCAGACGGGATGGAGCTTCGTCAGATCACCGTGCCGATTGGCGTGCTCATGGTCATCTTCGAGTCTCGGCCTGACTGTCTGCCTCAGGTGGGCTGTTTCTTCATATTTTTCTTTGTTATTGCCTAGCCCCAAACTAGTTTTATTGGCAGGTTGCGCATGTGTTAATACCATATAATCTGGTACATATAAACAAAGGGGAAGAAAAGGATAATTAAGAACTAGATAATGATTTTTTGTGTGTAAAGAACGAGACAAGTGAATTAGTGTGTTAGTAATATTTGCATATATTACTAACACACTAATTCACTAATTTGTTATCAAATTGCTAATCTGAGCTTAGGATCAGATGTTTTGCAGTATGATCTTTTATTTGGCCTGTCTGTCAACCTCAGGTGGGCTGCCTGTCTGTTTGTTTGTTTATCAAAAGGATCATATGAGACTCTGTGTTTGTGTAAGCTTAGGATCAGATGTCTTGTCTGATCTTCTATTTGTTATCAGAAATGAAGATTTCAAAGAACATGTAAAAAACAACTCTCTCCTCCCACAGGTGGCAGCCCTGGCCATCGCCAGTGGAAACGGTTTACTGCTGAAGGGGGGGAAGGAGGCGACGTACTCTAACGAGTACCTGCACGGGCTGGTACAGGAGTCGCTGGATCTGTACAACGCTAAGGACGCCATCTCACTGGTAGGAGTGATAGATTATTGCTGTCACTTGGACCACAAACTTAACAATGAAGCTGTGGTGCCAGAAACTACCAGAATGTTAACAAACATGGCTAACAGCTGTGTTTGAAGCTTTAAAGATGAAAGCAGCTGATGTTATATTCTTCTAACCTCCTTAGGCCACACCAATTTAATCAGTTGGTTCTTGGCGTCGTCCACTTCATTATGTTTACCAAAGGAAAACATTGTTTTTGCTCCGTTTCCTCTTCTCTTCTCCAAACCAATAAGGTCAATGACCTGAAACAGACGTCTGTCACCATGGTAACTAGAGTTGGGTTGCATCATGTTGCAATTTTATAGCAGGAGGGATTTAGACTCCTGTCTAACCATATACATTATGAATGTGTTTGAGTAGAGTTAACAGAGCAGCACATACGCGAAGGTAAACATTATGCATTTTCTTTGCAAATGTTACCTTTCTAGTTTTTTTCTAAATTTGTAAAATCAGTGTTTTGATGTGGATAATGGAGCTTGATGGGCGGTTATACCGGCTATACAGATACAGATATAGAATGTCTCCCCCTACAGGTGAGCACGAGAGAAGCGATCTACGACCTGCTGAAGCTGGAGCACCTGATCGACCTGGTGATCCCGCGGGGATCCAGCGATCTGGTACGGATGATCCAGCAGGCCAGCAAGGGGATCCCGGTGCTCGGGCACAGTGAGGGGATCTGCCACGTGTACGTGGACAAGGACTGTGATCCTGAGATGGCCGCCAAAATCGGTGAGGAGTTACTAGTAGGTTATGGCTTGACATACATGTACTGGGTGCACATGCACCTTAGTGCAGGTGAAATTGGAGCTGCGCAGGTATTTCTGATGTCTACCTGAACCTAACTTGCACTGGACAGCCACCCATCATTGCTCAAAAACAGGTTGTTATGTTCCTGAGTGCTATACTACTGGTGAAATAAATAAATTGAAACTGGTCCATATACTGGGTGTTCAAAGTTACATAGTGCATAGGGTGGCACTCATCTCCGTTTCTGTAGCCCTTAGGCCTCACAGTTATGCAATCACTACAGCAGGGGGGCTAGTCCACTCGTAGTGGTGTGTGTTTAATTCTCATACTCTTTCCCAAATGCTGAGTGCTAAGCAGAGAAAGCAGTTTGTACCATTTATGGTATGAATGGGCCACTGGGATTGAACTCACCTCCTACCAAATGCAAGGTTAACACTCTACTCACTTGGCCATTGCACCATACTTTACAATAAGTTCAACTTGTTTTTTACCATCTCCCGATGACTCCCCAGTTCTGGACTCGAAGTGTGACTACCCAGCTGCCTGTAACGCCATGGAAACACTACTGGTCCACCGGAGCCTGCTGAAGACACCGGTGTTCGACCACATCATCGACACACTCAAGCAGGAAAAGGTCAGTGCTGCCCCCTAGCAGGTCTTGCATGAACTGCAACATGTTCAGGCAACTTACTGCCATTGTCTTTAAGTTACCTGTTGCAAAGAAGCTCTGTAAGTGCAACACACATGTAACAAACAAACAACAAGGCAAACGTAGAGAAAGATGGGGAAGGTACAAAAGGGAACTGTTTCTCAAGCAACTGGATAGAATTTGAAAACTTTCAGACATTTCAAGCAGCATCTGCTACTTATCATCAGGGAAGGTAGTCTTTATGCATTTTGAAAACAAGCTTTTTGACCAGTTTGAATTGACATGTATTGAAGTTGCGCATGTATTTGCTAGTTACGCGAAATCTTGCGTCACCTCTGATGAGGATGACTAACAAACATGTACAACAAGCAAAAACAATGTGCTCCCAATGTTCAGGTTTTTTTTTACTGAACCTACACATTTTTACGAGCCCGGTCCAGCGAATTTGTACCTTGTACAATTGTCATGCAACAAAGTTTTTCTATGTGATTTCTGGTTGACAGGTGTCTGGAACTGATACACAGCACTAATTGTATTTTTATTGTGCAATTGTCTTGCAATAAAAAGTCCTTCAATGTGATGTCTGCCTGACAGGTGTCCATCAATGCTGGCCCACTGTTGGCGAAGGCGCTGCGGTTCGGTCCGCGTGAGGCGAAGTCGATGCGTGTGGAGTACGGAGGGCTGGAGTGCTGCGTGGAGGCCGTGGATGGGGTTGACGATGCCATCAAACACATTCACACCTTCGGTAGCTCTCACACTGATGTCATCGTCACAAACAATGGTAAGCAGGGTTCTCACAAAGCTGAAACCTCTGCTTGGAGAGAATATCGAGCTGTATGGATATGGTCCCAGTGTGTAGAGTGGTTGTAGGATTACTATAGAGCAGAATTGGCCAGGAATGTCAACTGTTTACGGTGTGATGTTCAAGTATGTGTAATGTATGATCCTACTGTCCCACTAACCCAGAGCTACTAACCTTAAGCAGTGAACCCTTAATGTAAAGACTATGAAACAGTATGTTTTGTATTTTCCGTACCTTCCAGCCAACACAGCTGAGAAGTTCCTGCAGAGCGTGGACAGCGCCTGCGTCTTCCACAACTCCAGCTCGCGGTTCGCGGACGGATACCGCTTCGGCCTGGGTGCTGAGGTGGGCATCAGCACCGCCCGGATACACTCGCGAGGTAATTTTTTAATCAATCAATCAATCAATAGCCTTTATTTATACTGGAGATGCCCTGTCGGCCTTAGCCACTCTTCCCAGAGGTCCAGTTGAGGGGGGTGGTCACGGGAACACAATAGATAACTTAATAAAATTCAAATTAATACAAAAATAAATTACCAAATACTGAACATAATAATCACAATCTTGTCCAGAATCACAGTCCGCAAATCAGTCCGCAAATCAAATTTCTCGAGTACCGTATACAGTAATTTTTAATGTAAAGTTGATATGCAACAAATAGCTTTTTATCAAATGTAACAAACTTTTATCAAATAGCTGCACTATAAGTGCATTTTGTGTTTTAAAGCCTTCTCAATTCAGCCAAATATGGCTGCTTACAGGCTTTTGTGTGTACTTGTATGGTACAAACAAGTCTCTCTCTCTCCCAGGTCCCGTGGGCGTGGAGGGTCTACTCACCACCAAGTGGGTCCTTCGAGGGAGCGGAAACTCGGTCGGCGACTTCGCGGAAGGAGGGCCGAACAGTTACATACACGAGTACTTACCTTTGGAGGAAGGGGCAGAGGGTTCAGACTCAGAATAGGATTATGGAAGTCACAAAATCTTGTGTTAAGTTAAAACTTTTGTTCCTTTGGTGGAGCAGCCTGGAGAGTCAGACTCAGAGAAGGGGAAACTACAATGCAGTTGTTTGTACAATAATTGATAGTCACAAAATCTTGTACTTTTCAGTCAGCTCATGCTTATGTCATTCTAACTCTGTTAGCAACTTTGCAGAAGGAGGGCCGAACAGTTACATACACAAGTACTTACCTTTGGAGGAAGGGGCAGAGGGTTCAGATTCGGAGTAGGAAAATTATGGAAGGAAAAAGATAAACTTTCATGTTAGGAAAACTAGAGCTTACAGTTATGGAGGTCAGAAAATCTCTTTATGTTGGAACAAAAGTTTGAGTGGCAACTTAGTCCATGACTTTTACATGATGACAGTTATATGATTACTTACCTTTGGTGAAGGAGGCTGGAGAGTCAGACTCGGAATAGGACAGGATTATGGAAGTTGTTTAAATTTAAAACTTTTGTACTCACCGAAAGTAGGGCCCAACAGTTACATACATTTGGTGGAGGAGGCTCAAATTTCAGACTCGGAGTAGGAAAACTGGTCATGTTTACATGTACAATAATGGAAGTCACAAAGTCTTGTTTAGAGTTAAGACCCCAGTTTGTTCCCACACAAGAAATTGTGACTGTCCATCACAATTAGCAGTTCAAGCAATGAAACAATAAGGCTGCATGTCCATCAAGTGTTTGCATTTTTATGCTTTTATTTTGCATCTTTATGTTTCGACAGCGGTGGGGGATATAGAACTGGTGTATTGCTGAAAATATTTTTGTTGTAATATGGAGAAACTTGTGAAATGACTGAATGATGGACACTTTCAGAACCCTGCTTTCAATATCTGAACAATTTTTCAGTGGTTCAGTTTGTTTTTGCCTCTCCTAACAGCTTCTTTTTTCCTTTTTTTTTACATGTTAATTTATTTGCACTAAATAAATTATTTTGCCATGTTCATAGATGGAAAGACCCTGACAAAAAACCTAAATGTGTTCCCTATATTGCAATAAGTGTCTTAAATCCAATATATTAGGGTTTAGGAAATCTACTTCATCCAATAATATCAACATTCTGATCAGATTTAGTATTGAAATCTAGATTTTTTTTCTATACATAATTGTGGATTTGGGTTTTGTATACAAGAAAAATGGTCATAGATTACCTGAAAAGTCCACATTATTAAGATGTTTAAGTCCTTACGGTATTTCACAACAAAACTATGATTATGAACAGAGGAATGTGGGAAAAGGTTGAAGGAAATGTGGTATTATTTTGTTTTTCATAAAGAATCATTGATTCACAAAAAATCAGTGTTTTTTTCCAAACACCTTAGATAATCTGAAGTGATAAATATTTTACGTTGAATATCTTGAAACTTTTGAGAGTTGTGATAGCAAATTAAACATTGTTTCCCATCCCTGTCAAATTACAACATATACAGTCATATGTCAGACTTTGTTGTATTGTCTGAACATTGCTGCACCAGTGAAACATTGGATGTTATATGTTGTAAGGTGAAAGTAGCAAACTGCAACCATTCATTGATAAAGATCTACTTGATGTAGAGAAAAAATATAGCAGTATTAAATGTTACAGCAATGTAGGTACTACTAGTAAAAAAAGGCCAATGCCACATACTACTGAGTTTGAGATATTATATAATAGCTGGAGAAACAAATATTGTCTTAAGTGTTTATTAACCCAAGTAGACTGAAGCATTTGCCAGAAACTGAGATATGTACACAGAAATGCACAATAGAGATTAATATGATTCCATATAAAGCGGTATGGATATGGTCCCAGTGTGTTGTGTGGTTGTAGGACTACTATAGACCAGAATTGGCCAGGAATGCCCAGTGTTTACGGTGTGATGTTCAAGTACATGTACGTGTAATGTATGATCCTACCGTGCTACTAACCCAGAGCTACTAACCTACACCCTCCCGAGCAGGGTTAGTGGCTCGGCCCCGAAGTTAGAGAGGACACTTCGGGGCCGAGTCCCTAACCCTGCTCGGGAGGGTGCTAACCTAAAGTAGTTTACTCTTGGAAAGACTAGAAAAGGATGTACAGTACTACTGATAAGTTAACACAGGGCAAGGTACAGTTTTCTTTTATATATGAGATTTCATATCATTAACAGATTCTTAGTAACTTATTTATAATCAATTGAAATTAAACCCAAGAGGAGTTAGTGATTTTGCATATTTTGTCCATACAAGAGAAAGTGAGAAATTTGAGGGATACAAATGTATGTTGCACGCATACTAGATCTGATGAGATAATTTGCTAAAAACCTGCTTCTACATTGTTCATATTGCTTATGATTTCTATGATTCTTAAGAGAAATTGGACACAAATGAAAGAATATTCCTGTGCAGTACTACTAGACCAGAACACACGTTTGTGGTTGGTAGAAAATTCAGATTGTATGTGTAGTCTGTCAGATCCAGAGTTGTGGTAAGACATTGGTGATACATGTAAGTATTGTGCAAGTACAAACTACTACATGTAATGTTACAAGCTGTAATGTTAGGTGTTCTCGTAAGTGAGAAGTTGGAAGGGACAATAAGATGTGTGCTGTTATCACAAGTGTCCTCGCTGGGGGTGAAACGTCAGGCCACAGGAATTTGATCTCATGGATGACATCATCTGAATTTCAAGCTTGCATTGATGTAAAAACTGAAACATCTTTGAAGAGAAGTGGCTTTTATCAACTGTTGGGCAAAATATGAGCATCTTGGAGACAAAATATGAGCATCTTGGAGACAAAATATGAGAATCTTAAGAGCCTGAAATGTTTTCAAACCAGAAAAAATGAAGTGGGCAAACTGGACAACCGATTGATTAACTTGGTTTGGTCTAAAATGGCAGAAAAGATGACGTCATCCAGGTAATCGAAATCGTGTGGCCGATACAACACCCGATACAAACATGGGTAGAAAAGAGCACAGTGGTATTGGCGGCGGTGGAGGAGGAGTTGAATATGCACGTGTCATGGGTACAGTGCTGTTTGGTTGGGGTTGGTGTCATGGATGCACCATTGTTTCCATGGATACACCATTGTTTCCATGGATACATTATTGTTTCCATGGATACACCATTGTTTCCATGGATACACCATTGTTTCCATGGATACACCATTGTTTCCATGGATACATTATTGTTTCCATGGATACACCATTGTTTCCATAGATACACCATTGTTTCCATGGATACACTTGTTTCCATGGAAACACGTTTTGCTGTTTCCATGGAAACATGAACGTTTTGCTGTTTCCATGGAAACATGAACCTTTTGCTGTTGCCATGGAAACATGAACGTTTGTTGTTTGTGTAGCGACTTGACTGTTGCCATAGTAACAGACTGGATGATACGATAAGTGTTGAGGTGCAGGTCTAACATGTGGGGAGGGAAGACGTCATTTGAGTAAAAGGCTCCCACCCAGAGGCGTTGCCAAAACTTATAATTTGGCGGGAAAGATATGTCTTCTCAAAATCTAATAAATGTTATTTTCATTGATGTTGTTGTTGAATTCTTTGAATGTTTGCAGCATGAGTTAAGAGCTTGTGTAGTCTCTGAATTGATTTTGCCCTTCTTCTCAAAACATAAGTAAGGTCACTGACCTGGACTAGACGTCTGTCACCATGGTAACTGTAGCTGTAGCTGTAGCAAGGCTAATTGGAAGAACATTGGAAATGATGAATTAATGTGGAGGAGGAAGTGAAGTAAGCCGTAAAACTGATCATAAAATACTGCTATTGCTAATGCTACGTTTAGTATAAGACTGCCAGCAAAATACTAGTACGCCGATTCAAGAGTCGCCACGGCGAAAACTACCTTTTCATCCATGCATGTGAAATGTAACCACCGCGAACAAAAGTGAATACTTGTACATTTAACATTACTGTAGACTATAGACAATAGTATACGTTTCTCAAAAGATTGATTCCTGCTGTCCATTCAAGTCAACTATTAACTAGAGTATTTCAAGTGTGAGATCTTGAAATTTTTGTTGACATAGCTTTTGGCCGGTCTGACTGCTTTTTTATTTCGACGCGTCTATCGGAAAGTTTTCATAATTTGATTAGTGCTTAACTCGACAATTTGCAGAATTTTGCAGAAGTTATCTTGTATGACCTTAAATGAGATGTTAGGTGTCAGCAATCCTTCGATAGCTCAGTTGGTAGAGCGGAGGACTGTAGTGGACATGTGTTGTCATCCTTAGGTCGCTGGTTCGAATCCGGCTCGAAGGAAAGTATTTTTTTTCGTCGATCGAAATACTTGGAAATTGGAATTCTTTTCTATTCTGTATTTCTGAACTGGTCATTCAACAAGAAATGACAAATTTCAACACTTGCTAGAGTTTTGCAGAATTATATTATCAGAAAGACAAAGTTTACACACACACGCACGCACACACACACACGCAAGCATACACACGAACACACACACACACACACACACACACACACACACACACACACACACAAACACACACATTCAGCCCGAAGTTGTTTTGTGGAGTCAGTGTGGGCTTTATTTCAAACTATATATCGTTAAAACGGACGCCTGTTTGAGGAAATCTAAAATTCCACACGCCTGATCACGTATCACAAGAAAAGGACCAACGTTTACTAAATACCAGCTGCATAGTTTCCTCTAAATCATCCCACCCACTCCCCATTGCTTGAGTAGAATCCATACATGTCTGTGTAGCTGTAAAAGTGAAACTGGACCGGCTCATAATGGTAACATCTACCATCTATCTAGAGAGAGACTGAAATATGAACAGTACTGAACTCGACATTTGACTCCCTTTGACCACTGACCGACAACCGATTATGATTTAAGTATTTTTTTTTCATTTGTTTGATTTGTATATGTTCAAGTACTTAATATATGATCCACTATTCCTAAGTTTGTATTATTTGGAATTTGACCTCTGACCATCCCAAAAATGACTGATCATTATTATTATGTCTTGATTTATGATGT